AACTGTTTTGAACTTTTTGTTTTTAAACGGTCCTTGATCTGTGAAAATTTTTCAGAGTAGATGACTATTTGGTGAAAGCAAAATTATGGATAGAGGAAGCCGTATTTGTTTATTACAAACACGTAGGTTTCACTTCATAAGACATTAATGGATGGACTGGAGTCGTGTGGATTACTTGTGGGTTATTGTGATGTTTTTATTAGCTATTTGAACTCTTATTGTATCTACTATTTGACAAGATTTACATGCTTGGACACAGGGATTAATTGCTGTAATGTCAAGTCATGCAAGTTATGCACACAATAACCACAGCTAATAGTCTGGAAGCTTAACAACTACATACAGAATTTCAATGAGGGCTGGAGTAATAAAATATAGAACATTTACATGAAATAATTAAACTCAGCATGAAACGGAAATTGTGATCACTTGTGAAATGGAAAGAATGTGGGACAGGACTTGATTTTGTCCATTGGGAATCGATTGGATTGTTGGGTCATTGCCATTTGCTTATTGCTGCGATCTCATGTGATTGACAGAAGGGATGGATTATTGTCCTGCTCTCGCACCGGTGTAGACATGATCAGAGAAGAGATGCCATTGCAAAGTGGGATGGGAAGGTAATGTTTTTAATTTTTTGAGAAAATAATGATGTGCACAGATAAATAATTTGGAATAAACACTGCAGTATTCCATACAGAAGTAAGAATTGTTGATTTCCTGGGGACTTTAAAAGAACATGAAGCGAGAGATGACTCATGGATGGATCTATAATTAGCAGTTGGATGTGTGTCACTGTGCAGATGCTTTTGTTTCTCAACATCCAAAGATGGCAGTTCATTTGTGCAGCGCATTCTCACGCTGTGTCCGAACACAATTAATCCAACCAATTAGTGGACAGACAAATGTGTGGTGAATGAGAGCAGGCAATTTGAGTGAACACCTAATTGTTAATGTGGTTAGAATAGTTCACCATGTCCAGGACTACGTGGGATGATGCCTTTTGCATTTGCTTTCTGAAAAAAACAACATGAGTCAAGCAGTGGATAGTCACTCATCTGCTGCCAGCCACAAAACCCTATGGTGTCTTCAAAATGCTGTTTTTCCATTGGAAATGCTAGAGAGCATTCCATGCCCTCTGTATGCTTTTTTAATTTTCCATTCCTTTGGGCTTGTTTGTATCTGAAATGTTCAAGGAGTAAAATATTCATTGGATTTTTTTTCATTGAGAGAAGTGAGGATCTCTATGCACATGCCAGACGTACACACACTTTGGCGTCAAAGACGGTGCAAATACAGCGGTGCTATGAAAACTCTAAACTAATGTCTAAACACTCT